CCATTGCAATTTTAAATCCCTCTCCTAGCCTGCCTAAGAGGTTTTCTTTCGGAATTTTGCATTCTTCAAAAATTATGTTACAAATTGATGTTCCATTAATTTCCAATTTGTTTTCATTTTTGCCTAATGTGAGACCATTGATTGGTTTAGGGACAATGAAACAACTTATTCCTTTGTGCTTCAGAGCTTTATCAGTAATAGCAAGCACCTGTGAACGATAACATAGAAACTTTAGTGCACATATTTAATGGTGCCAGAGATATATAATGATTAAAAGGCTGCGAGAAGAGATGAGTTGTTTCTGTTTTAGAGGTTTAAACTTATTCAAACCTGAAATCAACAATTTTTTTTTTTAAGATTAAGATTGCCTGAAATTTGACATTTGAAGTACATTAAACATGCACCTGAAATTTAAAATGTAACGTGAAATGTAACATGTGAGATAAATGTCCAAACTCTAAAATACAACAGTCCGAAATTCTTGAGCATTTCTGTTTTATAATAATTACTACCCCTTTCTAGATTTAACAAGATTCATAATTTTAAGATTCTGTTAAAAAATAAATAAATTGATTTAAATCAGATTTTCTTAAAAGATAATTCCAGACTCTCAGATTATAAATAGCTAAATTTTAGAATTATAATTTAAATTTTAAATAGCATTAAAAATAAATCATTACAGTATATTTCAAACTACATTTCTGCATTAAAATTTAAGACACCCAACTGTATGATTTAACTTAACGAAATGAAATATAAAACCTGTCATTATACCACCAGCTACTCTAAAATTCTATTCAAACTAATGCCAACTGTAAATCATTTAAAATAAAAAGAATTATGCATTCAGAATAATAAATAAGGTTATGCTATCAAAAATCTACACTCTGAAATTTAAAATTTTAATTAATTAATATTTAGTAATCGTGATTGTTAGTTATGCATAGATATTGTACTATATAACGCTTCAGCTGTAAAGGCCTTTTTAGAGTGTCCCCTGTTGGACATATGAAGATTTGTAATAATTCGAATCGAAAAATTAGCTAAATTGTTTCTTTAATAAACAAACGTAAAAAGTAGTTGTCAGGAATAGCTACAGAAACTTTGTTTTTAATTCCACTATTCACTACACATTTGGCTCGGAGTTGTTTGATCATCCACCTTACAGCGCTGATCTTGCTCCCAGCAATTTTCATGTTTTCTTGCACCTCAAAAATTTCCTGTCCTCCGGTGAGCGTTTTGGCAACGACGAAGAGCTGAAGACGTCTGTCACACGCTGGTTCCATTTACAGACAGCAGAGTTCTACGACAGAGGGATACAAAAGTTGATCCCACGATACGACAAGTGTCTCAATTCTGGTGGTGGCTATGTTGAAAAATGGCTGAAACATTGCTGTACTTGTTGCCAATAAGCATGTTCCTGAAAGTATGAGTTCTATTTTTTTAAAAAAAAAAACAAGGAAACTTACTTTCTGGATGCGCCTCGTATGCGAATGTAAAGAATATCATTTTCTATCCTCTTACCAATTCTATTAAATACATACGCAGCACATCTTAAACACACCTTAGGGTGTGTAACTGGTGTCAGCAAAGGCGCAGTAAAGTTAAATGTTTCATAAAGAAGGAGGAGGGGAAATTCCCGCTTTGACGAAAGAAATTTCGAATTTGACGGAATCATTTATAAGTGTATAATCGCTTCAAGAAAAAACTCTTCTGTTGCATGAAATTCAATAAAAAATTCTTCTATTGCATAAGATTCAATAAAAAATTCTTCTGTTGCATGAATTTCAATAAGAAAATTCTTCTGTTGCTAATATATTTCCAATATGTTAATTTTTTTCATCAATAAATTACTGATTTATTGATTTTATACTTAATTATTCTATAGTTGATTAGCTGCGAGTGGTCAATGGGTAAAGTATTAAACTGTTATCAAGAACTAGGGCACGATTCTTACTGATGGCTTGAAGCCTTCCTCAGCGTCAGATCGCTTGGTAAGTTTGTCTGGGAAGTAAAGGCTGCTGACAATTTCTGTGTGCAATTGCCATAGTCAGCAATTACCACTTTGTGGCACATAAAGGACTCCCTTTATTTCTGAAACAGCGCTGTTTCAGAAATGTTTTACTTTAATTCTATTCAATAAATAATGAACAATTTGATAAAGAAATGTAGAAGAAAAAAAGGAAAGACATTTATTTTCATCTAAAATGCAGACATTATTTTACGTTATTCCACGAATCGAATAACAAATAATTTAGTAATCAAATCTCAAGAATACCCAATAGAAATGTTTTGAGAATCTTGGTTTAAAATGAAAATATAGTTGCAGTAGCTAAAAATAAAAAAAAAAAAAATTATTATAAATAAAAAGTTTGCTGAACTTATTTGAAATATATTTATTTGTTGTTGTTTTATGACACTTCCCAATACTGACAAGCCTGTTTAAAGACAGAGGGGTGAGCTTCTTCTTGTTTTTCAGTGACGCCATTTTTGGCTTAAAATTCAAAACGCATTCATACGCCATCCATCCACAGGTCGTAAATTTGACCTAAGCCAGAGCACGATCAATCTCTAATCCAGTACCAACAGGGGTATTAATTTGTTACGGGAACCTGGAGGACTTTCTGACCATGACAGAGTTAGTGTACACTAGTCACCATTTACTAAGAAGGGAGTCTCCTGCCAGCGAGAACTGAACTCACAACCTTTTGGACAAAGGCGCAGCGATGTACGAACCAGGATATCTAATTATTTGTTAAATTTAAAAAGTGAACAATAATAAAATAGATACTAATATAGCAAACGCCACTTTATGCCTAATTTTTCATTTAATATGCATAATAATTCAATAAATGAAATAAAACCAGCATATAAACAGATGAAATAAAAATGATAATTTTAAAATTTTTATTGATAATTAGCAGTTTGAATAAGATTTTACTTTTTTTCGCTTAGTATAAAAGAGATTTTGTAAAATTATCTTACCAATTTAATGTAATTTCCATTGTGGCTAAGTTCTAAATAATTTCTTTTGCCATCAGAAGGGAACTTTTTTTATCTCCTAATATATTTTTTTTAAAAATATTTTATTTTAATTGCATTAAAGGCTACTGCTTCTGCTTTTTGTTGCTCCCCAATCCTCGGAGATTTACAATTAAATCATTCCAAATAAATAAGAAATTTAAACAAAGTAAAATGCGGTTTGCATAGCTATATTTGTGTTTACCTAATAAAATAAGAGAAAATGATTTTTCGTAAATATACCAAATGGCCAAAGAAAATTTGTCGAATAGTGCAAATGCTTGGGAGGTCACAGCAACTTCCCGTGACCTCCAACCTGAGTGTCAGGTATTAATGCAAAAATATATGAAGATATATATATTAGTGCTAAACAGATTCCTAAAGTAAAAAATATTAGTTTTAATACATTCAAGAAATAGAAAAAAAAGATGTAATATAACAATATTTTATTACATCAAAAATGTAGTAAACTGAATACTGCTAATACAAATTGAATTTCGATAGCTACAATTTATTGCATATTATTAAAACTTGCACCATCTTTGTCAGATGCCATTAAGAATAATAAATTTTTAAAAAGAGAGAAATATAAATAAGACACTTAAACTAGAAAAAAACATGTAACGTAAAAAGTTTTTTTTAACCTTCTTAAAAATTAACAAGTTTTGCGAAATAATTATTTCATGCATAAATTTTATTATGAATAATAGCATAATAAGAAGTAGAGTTTGAAACTTATTACTAAAATTTACTAATTGACTTTAAAACAAAGCAAATTGATATAAATGTGGATTAAATTAGTGTCATTAAAAAGAAATAAGCTTTTAGTATTTTTTTATGTTCACAAATAACACGGGGAGGGGGGACAAATAAATTTTTTGTTGCATTTATGCAAATATTTGGTATTGCCTAGTTGGGACAAAGGAATTTTAAATCTGAAATTAGTTTTGCCCTGAGGCTAAATTTTTTTAAAAGACGGCAATTTTTAGTCCATTTCTTGTCAAAATTTACAAGTTTAAAAACGGTATAGATAAAAAGGGACACATAAATATTAAGAAAAACTTCTAGGGAAGACAGGGTACATCCTCAGAATTACAATTACATAGAAACCCATGCCCTATATGGTCGTCATAGTCGTCACTTTCCTATTATGATCTAGATACAAGAACATGAAGAAATAGTTCATAATATCTACAAAAGACGCATTTTCAGACATAGGTTTCTTTGCAATTTTAATCTGATAATGTGTCCTGGCTACCCTAGAAGTTTCTTACAACTTATGATTTTATATGTCATGTTCTTCTTGTATTATCTGAATATTATCAATGAAAAAAATATTAATTTCCGATGATAAGCCTATGGCAAAAAAGATACTAACTAGAGCTGCTTCAGCCTCATAACCATTTGTTATCCAGGCTTTAGTTCCATTCAAAATCCAAGAATCTCCATCCAATCTAGCTGTTGTTGATGCAGC